CTGTCAGTGTTTCTACATTTGTTACTATCTGTCAACGTATTTGACATTTTTTTTTCCAAAACTTTCCTTACATCAATAACCTGGGTTCAAACTTCAATATTTAACCTTTGCCACTGGGGTGGGTGGGATTCACTGTGTCCACACTCATGAATATGTTTATAAAGTTAAATTTTCCCATCTGACAAATGTACGTGTCATGTAGTTCAATCATTTAGAGCAGCTGTCATAATAAGAATGGTTTACCATTCCCAAGACAAAAGGACTCGTTTAAGATCTCTATGAGCTTATCTATATTGCTGAACTATGGTGTTTTCTTATGCATGTAAAATAGTATGATGGTCTTAGTAGTTGTGATGAAAAACGTGTAATTAAGGTGAAGAAACAAGGGATGTCAATGCCTTATCTAATAGTGAAATTAAAGACATCACTATTAACACTACTAACGTAATAGAAAGCAATTGAAATTAAGATGAAACACTGGACAAAAATAAATAATAGTTGCTGATGCTTCATCTAATAATAAGATTCCAGATAATATTACTACTAACAGTACATTTTTGTGTTTGTCGGTCTGCCTGTTCAAAATTAAGATGCAGGAAATCACTAGTCAAAAATAATGGTTGACAATGCTTTATCTAATAATAAAATTCAAGTGAATATTACTGCTAATACTAATAACATAATGGAAAGGAATTGAAATTAAGGTGAGAAGAATGCAAGACAAAAATAAATAATGGTTGAGAGCGTTTCATCTAATAAAGATAAAATTCAAGATAATATTGCTAACACTAGTAAACGTAATAGAAAGCATTTGAAATTAAGATGAATCATTAGTAAAAAAATAAATGATTGAGAATGCCTCATTCAATAAGAATAAAAGTCAAGATAATATTACTACTAATACTACTAATGGAATAAAAAGTGAAATTAAGATGAAAGAAATCCTAGTGAAAAATGAATAATGGCTGACAATGTTTCAACTAATAAGAATAAAAGTCAAGATAATATTACTACTAATACTACTAATGAAATAAAAAGCAAATGAAATTAAGATGGAAGAAATTGATTATGAAAGAAAAAAAATATGGGCCTGTGAGAAAAAGAGAAACGTTATTAAGACACAATAATATTGGAAAAGTAATCGAGAAGATTGTTGTCATCAGCATAGATATCAAACTGAGAACTGATGTCATCAGGAAAGTCATTGACAAAATATAAGAACAATGTAGGTCCAAGGATAGAGCTCTGGAGCTGGTCGGGGGGTGGGGGGTCACCTGCATTAGTACAAAAAGATCTAGAAAAGTAGCTGTTCAGGGCAATTTTCATTCAATGATTTGATTAAAAAAAAAACCCACTGAATCAGTTCAAAAATTTGTCCAGAAATATAATCTTTTAACTTGTGAAAACGACTGGTATGCCCAAACCCTGTCAAATGTTTTTGACATGTCCAAGACAACAGTCCAAAAACTTCATTCATGAGGAGAAAAAATACTACTGTAATTAATGGCATGAATGTACTATAAGTGTTATGGTATAAAAGTTGCTGAATGTAGGCATCTTCATAATTTCTAAATATGACCAGTACATTGGGGCTGTGTTGATTAATTGATGTTATTAAAGATTGGTTTCTTATTTTTTTATAATTAGGGCTTCCATCACTTTTAAATGCATTTGCATTTAAAAAGTGATGGGATTTAGTCTTGTTAAAATAAAACATGTATTAAAGAGGGAGTGTTGCCCAAATACATTTTTTTTTTATATATATATATATATATATATATATATATATATATATATATATATATATATATATATATATATAAATCCAGGAAAGACTGAACAGCACTGAAAAAGTCTGAAACAAAAGTAGCCTACCAGCATGAAAGTGCTCAATACCATAAGAAATGGCAGAACTTCAATATTAATTAAAAACCAGATTGGCAGTGACTGCTGCCTGGTAATTGTGTGAAAGCTCAACATAAAACAAAATAGTAGTAAAGCTTGTCACTGCCAACCTGGTTTTTTAATATATAGTATATATATGAACTTATTGAAGGGATGTTGTATAATTTCTTTCATCAAATATATCTTTGTTATATAAACATTGGACAAATTATTTTTATATTTGTTTATATATTTATTTATGTATAAAAATGTTTTATATATATATATGTATGGATTAATATAAAGCCAATTTACATAACATATATACTTGGATGTATATATATGAAGAAGTATGTATACATATATATTGTATGAGCATAATATATGTATGTTCATATATATGTTTTTATGTATGTATATATATGTATGTATCTATATTTATATACAATATATATACATATATATATATAACATGTATATTTAAATATAAACGATATATATACATATATATGTTTATATATATATATTACCTGTCATACATAAATAATCCATATATACATATATGGTTTATATATATGTTTATATATATATGAATATATATATACATGTAACAAATTATATTGATAAATATATATATATATGTATATTTTAATGTATATATATATATGTATATGTATATATATATATATTATATATATATATATGTATATTTATATGTATATATATATATATATGTCTATATATATATTATATATATGTATTATATATATATATATATATATTATATATGTATATATGTATATATATATATATATATATATATATATATATATATATATGTATATATATATTCTTTTCCCCATTTATATATGTTGTATCCTTATATTATATATGTAGTGTATTTTATATATATTTCCATAAAATTGCTCTATATGTATATGTATTATTTAGTATATATTTAAAATAATAAATACCTATTTTATTTATGCATAAAACCATTGTATGTATAACTATTTACATTGCTTCTCATTTTGTTATTGGTATGTTTAAAAATAACATTAATATATATATATATATATATATATGCTAATATATTTCAAAGATATATATTTATAAATGACTGTTTTATTATATGCTATTAAAGAAACCATTTACCTCAAAAATACAGAAAGTGATATATATTATTTTAAAAATTTATTTATATATATTATATATTGTATATATATTTAATGATTATATTAGAAAGTCAAACATGCAAAATAAAAGTGTGGATTTAATATTTCAGAAAACTTGCTTGTTTTTTTTTTTTGTCCATTTACTGTAAAAAAGGATTGGTAAGTTTATTATTTTAAATTCATTTTATTTATATATATATATATATATATATATTTATAAATATATAATTTTACAAAGTAACTTCAAAATACTGTGATTAATCTAAGAAAAACCACATTTTTTTAAAAAATTGGCTAAAGTAACAGTTGTTCACAAAGTTTATAAAAACTGTCCATTCAGAATAATTAAAAGCCGTCAAAATTTATAAATAAAAATTTTGGATTTTTTAACACATTTTTTATTAATTCAAAAAACCACAACAAGTTAAAAATAAAAATATTTTATGAACATAATGGCTAGAATTAAAAGCATAAAAACTTTAATCACAGTATTTGTGTCAGTCACATTTTATGAAACAACATATATAAATGATTTTACTGTCATATATTTATAAATATATATATATATATATATATATATATATATATATATATATATATATATATATATACACACATACAAAACATAGTTGTGTATGAAATGTGTATGAAAATGTAATAACTTGGGACATAGGTTGGATATAGCATATCTTATTTATTCGTATCTATTTCATTCCATTTATTATTATTTTTTTATCTTTGGCTACATTTTACTGATTTATCTCTCCCACAGACATAGAGACCCCCCCCTAAAATGGATCCATTTGGTAAATCCATTTTGGGACATTGTTTACAACCTTTCACAGTCCCAGAATAATTTCTTTTCAGTAGACCTTTTTTTATTTGGCAAATTAATATATCCAATCCAATACAACTGTCTTTGTTTTGTTTTTTTTAACTATATCCTTATTTGGTGACCCAAATTTTTGGCCTTGTACCAGACTCAACTAAGTTTAGTAATAATCCTTTTATCTTGTTATGTTTAATATTCCAATGGTGCCTGAAATTGTTACATATTTGTCCAATGGTTCAAACCTGATTAACGGCCAAGATTCTGAATGCTGATTTTTCAAGACAGGAACTACCTCATTTTTGGATGACTGGTGCGACACATCCTTACTATTTTTCAGCAGTCTGTACACTCTTGTACTTGTAAAATCCGCTCTTCTTAAATGACACATTGTGCAAATTCTTATTTCTCTTTGTTTATTCATCACTTTCTCTCTTTATTGTAAAGAAAAAAAAAGTAATCAAATAAAAATACTCCATAAATATTTTTTATGCCGCATTTCACTTTTTTAAGAATGTATATTTTTTATGGATGGAAAATTTGTGACTTCATAGAAAGAAAAAAAAAAATTAAATTTATTAAGTCACGAGTTTCATTTTTAAAAAGTAAAAAAAAAAAAAAAAAATTTTTAAAGAAACTTGTGGTTCAGTGAGAGGAGTATAACTAGTCACTCATTTATTGTAACCTTGTGTCAGACTTAGCTGATGTCATTAATTTCTTCCCCTTTCTTTTTTCTCTCTCTACTTTGTTTATTGTTTACTCTCAACGTACATATTCTATATATCTATACATCTATATCCCCCCCCACACCTCTATTTCACCCCTAGGGGAAGTGTAAGGAACAGAACGACGGTAGGAGAACTTGCGTCGAAAGCTTGTTTATGTCGATTGCCTCGCACAGACAAAAACTGTAAAAAGAGAAAGGATGATATTTATTGAATGACATTGGAGGGCCCAGGGACTACTGCCTTTTTCACCCTACCAGGTACGACAACACCGGCCTCTCCAGCATGTCGATCCCAACTCTGGCCTGTTGACATTCCAACTTGTTTCCTTTTGTTTTACATCCAGGGAACTGCAATATACTAAAGCTAAAATCTTGTGGAAGTCGTATGCTTCAAATATACGCACATGTAAATCATTCCTTCCCTCTCTCTTTGAGGTGAGTCTCTCTCTCTCACACACACACACACACACACACACATAATATATATAAACATCCCGTGACAGAAGTACTAGTCTGTGTGATTACTACTACTCGTGTGGCTGATTTACTGAGTATGTCTGCTATAATACAGAAATGGATTTCTTTTCTTTTTTTTATTACTTAAAAAGAGAAAGGCAATGAGCTTTTTTTTTCCTCTGATGAATATTCCACGCGAAATAATATACAAAAAAAGGTAATCAACTCATTTTTTCCTCTTTTAATTTTTTATTTAATACTTTTTTTTTTAAGGCACTAAATTAGTTTTTATTTTAATTTTTGTTGCACTGTTTCTGTTTTCAGATACTTGTGTATATTTGTAAAAAAAAAAAAAAAAAAAAATGTTATTCAGTGAATAACAAATAAATTCGTTTGTTTTGTAACTTTTTTTTGTCCATACTCGAAGTTCTGTTGTTTTGGACCTTATCTTGATTTTCGAAACACCTTCTTATGTTCTTACGCATGTTTCCTATACTGTTGGGATGTTTTAATCCAATACACCGAAGCGGCGAAGAGATAGTCTTTTTTTTTTTTTTTTTTTTTTTTTTTTATTATCTACGTTTGTCTGTCTACCTCTTTCTGTGTCTGTCTGTCTACCTCTGTATGTGTCTGTGTGTCTACCTCTCTTTATGTCTGCCTACCCCTGTGTGTGTGTCCACAGTACTATAGGGAGGACTTGAAGTGGAGGCTTCAATCTCATCACCTTTTGTCGTAATTGAAAACCAAATGGAAGATTAACTTTGTCCTCTTGGCCTGAATCTATGATAATTGCTATTGAACTGAGCTGTATCATTTGTCTTAAAATCATTAGTGAAATTATTTTCAAAATAAATGTGAAAACTTTTTTTTTTCCTTTTCTACATTAATTTCTAAAACTACTATATACCTTTTTATATGTAGAAAACTAAGTCTTTCAGTTGCATCATCATTCCAGAATAATAAGTCCAAACAAACAGCAATTTGGTATTTTGATATATATATATATATATATATATATATATATATATAAAACACCAGAAAATGTTTACAGTCAAATAAGAGATCTAAACCAAAAATATAAACACCCATTTTTATGAGAATTTTGTATAGAATCCAAAATCTTTAAAACAACATCTGACTTTGCCCCAACTCACATTTAATATCAGATTTAGGACCCCACATCAACATTTTATTTTGTGCCACCATACTTCTATATATAGACATTTAACTATTCATCTACAATCTTATTGAATTGACAGTGTATAATCTAAATGTTATGAAAATATGGTCATATTCTGTAAATTATTTATTAATATTGTTTTTGTAAATAAAGCTTTATTTTTTTAACAGGCAACATTGACAAGTTAATTTTGATATCTAATTTGATGTCCTTTTGGAAAAATTATCAACTCCATGTCACCATCCACTCGGATTATGAATTTTTAAAATTTTTTGGTGGGGAATGGGTGGCTATTGAGATAGTTTTTCTTTTAAAAATTGTTTTACGGGTAATATCACAGTAATTATGTACTAAATCTGTTTTTACACTTTATTATTATTGTGTGTGAATATAGTATAGTGAAGGGCACTGAAAAATCAAAGGTTTCTGAGTGCCTCACATGAAAGGCTTGAACAAATAAGACTGCAATCTAAGAAATGTAGGAGTAAAGAAACTGATTAATTTAACAGTTCATTTTGCTTGGGAATTAATTTTGTCTGAATGCAGATATTTGTATTTGTTTTATTTCACATGACCAAGGAAAGTAGTCGCTTATAAATTTACTAACTTAATTTGATCTACTTTTCTTCTCACTATTGTTGGGACAGGAAATATATAAATAAATACACATTGATAGTTATTATATGGTTTTATTGGGGATAATTGTTATTAAAGTACTGTATAGAAATTAAATTTGCCCCATTTATTCCTGAAGATTTCGATAGGAAATTGAAGATATCTGTTACCAGTAAAGATAATTTAATCATAATATTTATAATCCTATATATGTGTTCTGTTTTTTTGGTTGTTTTTTTTTTTATGAGGTAAACTAAAAAGCTTATGTTCTATGCACCGATAAATATCTATTTAAGTATTTCTCTGATGTGTGTTTGCATCATTTGTGCATTTTAACTGTCTTGTAAGATAAAACAAAAGTAGTTACATTCCATTGTTAATGTGAAGTACTGTCCAATATAATTTATCCAGTGAGACCCAAGGGAGACAACTTTAAAGAAATAATGACAATTTTCATTTGCCTCACTATTATTTTCAAAATGAATTAATATCTATTTATAAAAATCTCTGAGCATAAAACTTATTAAAACATTTTACATGAAGTCAGCAGGGATATAATTTGTATAATTATAATTTTGACATCTTTTTAAATTTCAGCTTTTTAAAAATATATAAATATTTTTAAAATACTATCACTTGTGAAACATACAGGGTGCAAATGGTAAATTGTTACCACTTTATATTTTTAATTTTGTGTACACACATTGTTTGTTTTTTATTTTGTTGGCTGCACAGTATAGAAGGGTCAGTTGGAAACCATCTGTGAGAAAAATAGCACCTTGATGCAATTCACTCTACCAGACATTTAGAAACAGCATGCTGTACTATGTTTAGGTGTCAATCTGAGAACAGTGCAAAAGATTCATAAAGAGTTGGATGAGTCTAATGGTGATTACAAAGGCATGGCAGTTCGGAAAACTCACCCTGATCATTCTGATAAGAAAGGAACTCTTACATTTGTTGGTGAGGGCCTCAGCCTCAACACAGAGGCCTACATCAAGTGCCTTGAGGAGGTAGTGCTGCTTTGGGTCAAGGGGTTGACTTCTGGAAGAACCTATGTCTGGCAACAGGACTCTACACCATGCCACACAAGCAGGAGAACACAGTCATGGCTGTAAGACAATTTCTGTGATCACTTCACCCTTACATCTGGCCACTTAACTCCCCAAACTGCAACCCCCTTGATTATTATATGTGGGGCACAGTTGATCAAGAAACAAACAAAACTCCTTGTACCACCAAAGATGAACTCAAGGCAAGGATTATGGCAGCATTCACCAACTTAAACGAGGAGACTGCCCAGAAAAGTTGCAGGAGATTCCGAAGTTGTCTGATGGTCGTGGTTGAAGCCAATGGTGATTTTATTGAGTAAATTTACTCTTTAGTATTTCAAGATATTTTTATGTAATTTTGGTAAATATATCTGTTAAAACGAGATGTCAGTGTTATTTTCATTTTTGCATAATTTAGACGACAATTTATCCAACGCACCCTGTATATCTGTTAAAATGAGATGTCAGTGTTATTTTCATTTTTTGAGTATTTTAGACGGCAATTTATCCATCGCACACGGTATTCTGTTAAAATGAGATGTTTTCATTTTTGCATAATTTAGACGACAATTTATCCATCGCATCCTGTATATCTTAAAATGATATGTCATTGTTATTTTCATTTTTGCGTAATTTAGATAACAATTTATTCATCACACCCTTTATTTGATAAAACATTGTCATTTTGTGATCTTTAAATATTAATGAGATGAATATTTGCTATATGTTTGTATACATTGACACACATCACTTTAATTGTCAATACCTTTAAAAGCTTAAATGAACTAATTTTGATATATACATGTGTATCATGTGACTTTGAAGACCTAATTTTGAAGCTAATTTTAAGGGGGTCACATCATACATGAAGTATAAAATTAGCATATGCACTGCTCACCCTGGCTACACCATTGATCAAACTATATATTCATTTACTGTAGTCAAAAAATACAGCTGTATTTAAAATAAACATGATTTTGATAAAAGTAATGTTTTACTTAACTGTATCCAATAATAATGCATGTAATATTCACATATTAGTATCATATTATAAAATACAAACATAGCAAATATACATCTTTTACATTATTTAAGTTTATAAGATGTTTAATTGTTTCTTGTTCGGGTGTTTACGGCAGTTATGTGTTTATACAATGAGTATAACATTACTAATGATACTTTTATCAATCTATTTTACTTTTTTAACTTATTTAACTAGGAGATGAGATAAAGAGATAGAAGAAAAGAGCTTAGTCTATTGTAATTTGGTATCTCAAAAAGAGAACTCTCATCATACACGCGATATATGATAAAATCATTTTTTATAAGTGAAAACTTAGGGGGTCGCATGAGGGATCACGCATTACAAGAGTATACATGGTATTTGTTTGCGGCATCCAGTTTTTTGGTTGTTCAAAACGGTCTGATAATGATAAATAAATTTTTTTACCATATATACTCGTATGTAAGCCTACTCGATATATACTGCAGCCCGTTTTTTTTTTTTTTTGTTGTTTTTTTTTTCTGTGAAAAACCTAATTTTTATTTTATTTTCATATAACTCATGTATAATGCAATCCTTGCTTCTGAGTATAGTTAAATATTGCAGCACTGTATATCATCCTGGACATATTTTATAGCAAATAAATGGCCTTTAGTCATTTTTGTACAAAACTACCCTAAACCACTTACCGTAAAGTATCTGATATGAAGTTTTAGATACCTGTGTATAGTGCAGTCACTTACTGAAAATGCATGATTTTTAGCCTCTTCAAAAAAAAAAAAAAATTACTTGTGTATAGTGTGACACCCTATTTTTTGTTTGTGGAAAAAAAAAAAATTCATCATAAAAATTGATCTTTGATTATATATGGTACTTTATCGAAGCAAAAACATGTGCACAGTTCAGTTTTCAAAGTCCTATTAGTGTTATTTTTGGATTTTATTTGGACAAAAAGTAAAAAAAATTAAAACTACAGATTTGTGACTGGATTTAAGTGTTTGGTTTGACCCTCTATTTTGTCAATGGTTAGTTGTTTTATTGTTAGATTTGTTTTGTTTTTTTATGGCTTATCAACCCTTTGCAGGTTATTTAAAGCCAGAAAACCATTTTTAGATTGTAAGAATTTTTT